ATTAATTATAAGTAAAAATTAGAATAATAAGAATAAATCAAAGAAGAGAGAAATAATAGAGTCCTATTTTGATTTGAAGCAGAATATAAAAGCGTTTAATTGTATTTGTATGCAAATTTACAATCTGTGATGTTATTTTCAGCTTTAATTTATGATTGCATTTTGAATCCGATGAATCGAATTGTCATGCAGTTTATAGAATTGAAAGAATGTGTTTGCAAATTTGCATATGAATATTATTAAACACCAAGAGCTTCCAACCGAAAATAGGATTCTGTTATATGACATCTTAATCAATTAAGTATCAATATTATTATCTATCTTAGTATCTATCATATAATTAATTGTAAATTATTTGTACAATATTTATTCATAATACTGTGACTAGAATGTTTATAGATTTTTTAAAGAAATATTTTATCTTCTCTTCATCTATCTTTTACTTCTACTTAAGTTTTCTTAAAAAATGTAAGTGTAACAAAGAAAATTACATCAATGTCCGCATTAATACCTTGTTGGACTCGTTGACGAAGATTCTTGTTGTTGATTTTCCGATCGGTTTCTTTCTTGAACTCCAGAGTTTTAAGTATCTGGTTGTACTCTCTCTTTTCCTCTTCTGTGTCTTCGAAGATAGATCTATCCAAGTCATGGTCCTTTACAATGCGGCAACTTTTGCGTTCGCGCAACTTGTGCCCGTAAGATACATTTGCCGTGCCGAGAACATCAATGGGATACTTTCTCACTATGGGTAAACTACATTGTACTTTAGGTAAAGGGATCAAACTCATCTTTAGAGTTAACCATTAAAAAATAACGAATCGAAACTCAGAGAGATTGGCAAACGTTCTTCATGAACAACATTAATACATGCGAGAGATCCGATAATGTGCCTGCTTCGCCACCTCATTCATGGTGGAATCTGGTTTCACCATGAGATCGTTTGCAGTCATGGTTGCTATGACGATGCGCATTTATCGAATTAATATTTTTGTGCTGTGGTTCGATTTAAGCTCACAGCGCCCGTGAGAATTATTTATCCTTGTTTAACATTTGATAAACAACAAGGATGAAATGATCCCAATTCCCAAGAGTGTTGTGAGCGTGAATTGGATCGCAGCTCTTTTTGAAATGAAAAGGATAGAAACTAAAAAATGGAATAAAATTTTTATAATACATAATTATTCAGATTCTCATAATCGCTAAAATGACAATTAATTACGAGTATATCTTCGTAATATATTTTCAATTAATAAAACATCTATATATGGGACCACGGCTTTAGGTAGATTATTTCGATAGATTTAGAATTTGGGTGTACGCATTTCAAAGTTGTTTGCATCAGTGGAAATCTGTACAGTTCGAAATAATGCGCCGGCGGCGATGCATGCAATGTAATATCCGTACCGGAATGATCGAATATTCAATATTCGCAAATTAGATAGGAAATCTAATATGATCGGTGAGATTATGTGTGGCGAGATTATGGTTGCTACATAAATAGCATGCACGGTTATTAGGTATGACCGATTAAATCAAGATTGCAAATGCGAAAGCACAGGCATTTGCTCTTTATTGATATATGTCGCTGTTGCCCGAAAATTTCTTCTTCGTATACTCGTATGTAGCATGAATCGAGATAAGCAAGTTTCATCATCATATTAGATGTATGAATAAGTATTGTCTTAATGATGCTATATATTGATTAATATGCATTGATTCTGCGATAATATAAATTATAATATAAACATAATGTAAATTTACTTAATAAAAATGCTATATAGATATAAAAGACACGAACAAAAGTCTCATTAGATATTATATCGATATGTATATCAACAATTTTTTTAATATATATAAATTCTCTATTACATACACATGCCAAATCTTATAATTAAATCTGTAACGCAATTTTACGTATTTATAAATATCTATAATTAAGTCTAATTATTTCCGTAGTCAAATGAAGATTTTGACAATAAAATGAAAATATGCACTTTATTTTACGCAGAAATATAATACATTATATTCATTATAATACTCCAAAATGAAATCTATTATTAATTTATAACTGTGATATCTTACTATATAATAACTACATTTGAATGTAAATTAAAAGTCGTTCGTTATGGAGAGATAAAAATTTAATTACATATGTAATTAAATGCAATGAACATCCGATGAAATTCTAATAGCTATCAACAATTATATTTTCATAAACTTAAATTTTGAAAATTATCATATATATATAT